GCCCTGGCCCAGGTCCTTCATCCTGGAGAGCAACAGCAAGGAGATGGTGATGCTTGGCTGGGCGTGGGTGCGCCTTTCTTTTGTTTGTGTTGTTGTGTTGTTCTGTGTTGTGTTGTGTTGTGTTGTGTTGTGTTGTGTCGTTGGCTGGGCGGTTTGGTGCTTGGGTTGGTCTGGCTTTGCTTGGCTTGTGTTGTTTTGTTTTTACTACTACTCCTACTACTACTACTACCACCACTACTCCCACCACTACCTCTACCACTGCTACTACTACTACTACTACTACTCCTACTGCTACTACTACTACTACTACCACTACCACCACTACTACTACTACTACTACTCCTACTACTACAACAACAACTACTACTACAACTACTACTACGACTACTGCTACTACTACTACTACTACTGCTACTACTACTACTACTACTACTACTACTATTTGTACTACTTCTACCACTCATACCAGTAGCGTTTTTATTGAATGGTAAAATTTAGATTGGACTGTAACTATGCAAATGTCTGCGAAGGCACGTCTGTGATACATTATGTGCCACGAAGGCTCTCGAAAGCCACCCGTCCCACAAACTCTGCAAAACCTCCAGTGAAGGCAACCCAGCAGTGTGAAGGCATTTCACCCTTTAAAGAACATTGCTCATATAAGAAAACCTGACACCGACAGGGGGCCACCCATCTCATCGGTGTAACATTGATCGACATTCATCTCAGGTAGAATCTCTTGGGGCCCTTGCGAATGCCTTGCGTGAGCAGAACCTTGAGGTTTTCAAGAAGCTAGATCACCTGACAGCGTTGAATCGCGTTCAGAAGAGGAAGGTTGTCATGAAGAAGGGGGAGCTTCCGTGTGAGCGCGCTCTCTGTCTTCTGTGTGGTGCCAAAAAGCATCATGTCAAATGGATGTGCAAGGATGGCCATTGTACAGGTGGCACCTGCTATGCCTGCTTCAGAGCTTCCATTGTTTTGGATGTTTCTCGGTCTCCAACTCTGATAACAGAAAGTGGAGCTTCGGGGGTGGAGCTTCGGGGGTCTTTACGACCATGAGTCACCGTGTGCGGGTAGGTTTTGGAGATGCAGATGTGTGTCGCTGTGCGACTTGTGTTCCTAAGAAATCGAAGAAATGAATGGGAACACTTTTTGTTGCAGCCTTGCAGGGTAGGACAGTGCAAACGCACTGTCGTGGGGTACGCAGGGGCGGACAGTTTGAGGAACTTCCGCGGGAAGGAAAATCTTTGTTGCGAGCAGGTAACAGCAGCCAGCGACAGAGAAACAAGCAGTACACGCAATGCTGATTTGAAACTCTACTTGGTAAAGTGGTGCTGTCCGCAATTGGGAGAATCGGTATTCCATTTTTTCGATGAGAAGATCCGTAGAGGAATCGCTTCAAGGCAGTTGTTGCTTTGTTTTTTTTGTTTCGGCTTGGGCGATCAGGAAGCACGTTTCACCATGCCGCCCAAAGAACATTTGTCTGCGGCGAAGATAGCGAGACTATCCCGATTGGATTTGCAAGCTGCTTTGGATTCATGGGGTGTGCCGTACAAGAGCAGCGACCGTGATCTGCTGCTGAGGGCGAAGCTTGATGAGAAGATCGCAGAGACCCAGTCTGGTGAGAAAAGTGTCAGTGTTGCCAAAGGCAAAGACAAGTCTCGCACAGACGCGGCTTCCTCGAGACTCTTGCTTTTCATTGAGTGTAGTGGGCAAGTGGTTGGCCGGGCAACATTCGGACATCGTTCGGACGTCGTTTTGACCTCGTTTTGGACCTCGTTCGGAAACCCTTGAATTTCTGTGGCGGTTGTCCCATCTGAGGCGCATGTCCACAGCCGGCAGAGGCGCCGCCTCTTCCACCTCCTGCTGGCGATCCAGAAGCAGATGAGCCACTCGACCCTGTGGTGCGGTGCTTGGAATGCAATGCGGCAAAACCCTGGACAATCGGAGCTGCTTGCCGAAATATTGCCTTGCCTGCTTTCAGCGCAACCTGGATGAGCGCCTTGCGGCAGAGCCAGCTCTGACCCTGAGCGAGCCAGCTACGCCAGGAACTTTGCAAGCTGAAGCTGACTTGCCAATGCGTGACTCTGAGCCTGAATGTGGATGGCCGAGAAGAAAGCGGGAATCGGAGCAGTGCTGGTATGCCCGGGTGCAGGCACACTTGGATGGCCCGGACAAAAGAAAAAAACAAAAAACCTACATGTCCACGTGGCGGTCGAGCATGACTGAAGCGGACCGCCGTGCGTGGAAAGATGGAATTCAGAAAAGAGTTTCGGCAGAAGGGCCGGTGGAAGAGCCGGCGGAAGAGCCGGGCACAGAAGAGTTGGACCGCGGGCAAGTGGCAGAAAGTAGGCAGCAGGAGCCCGTGAAGGTGAAGGAGACTTCTCGAGTTTTGCTACAGAAGCCGTCGTTTCAAGAGCAGTGACAAACCTTTGCCATTTGCTGCAAGAAGTTGGAATCATGAATGGAGATGGTATTTTGGTGCAGGGGAATCGTCTGTTTGCATGTGACGAGAAGGGGCTGAGTCAAAGGGCCGATTCCTTGGCCAGTGGAGTGGTGGCACGCCACCAAACCAGAAGAGCCACCGCTGCCACTGCAAACGTCACTTGGGAGCATTTGACATTGACGTCGTTTGTCTCTGTGTCTGACCGTCGTTACCCAGTTGGTTGCGTGGTGCCGACCAAGATGGTTCACCCAGATATGCAGAAAATGTTCCCCCGGTCAGTGATTTACCCAAACCCATCAGGATCGACCACAGCTGCCATTTTTTCTGAGTTTGCGCTTCAATGCATGCTCTTGCCAGCAAGAGAACACATTGCAAGTGGCCAAGCACTGGTCTTAGTGCTTGATTCGGGCGGGGGTCAATGGTTGCACCTATCTCCGAGACTGCTTCAGTTGTGTTTGAAACACAACTGTAGATTGTTCTACCTCCCTGCATATACAACAAGAGCACTTTGTCCCCTGGATATGAATATCCACAGTGAGATGGCCAGGCTCTGGGCGGCCTTCAAGGCTGCTTGGGCACACAAGCAACAGCCGCTCACATTGTTTGTGGCGTTGCGGGCTGCGTCAGAAGTTTGTGACTCATCACTGCAGCCTGGTGTGGTCCGGGCAAGCTGGGCCCAGATTGGAATCCGTGCTGGGGAGGGCTATGATCGGGAGGTCATTTTCGTTCAGCGTTGCTCGTCGTTGCCAAGAGATGTTTCACGTTTTTCCATCAACGAATGTATGTTTCTCTTCGGAAAACACGAGACTTTCAATCATTCATTGTTTCGTGTCTTTTTTCAGGAAAGACGAGCATGAGAATCTCTGTCTCAGTTTGGTCACCAAGGTCATAAGGACATCTTCAAGAGCTTGAGGGATGGAAAGGGCACGGCTGCATCGTCCTCCGCTTCATCTGCTTTGGAGATATGTTCAAGAATGTCGCCGCAGAAGAACAAACATTCATGCGGACAGCTGGTGGGCGTTGATTGCAAATTTTGCCCGCACTGCGGCGGAGAAAACAGCAAGTTTGACAGCAGTAAGGCTGCCTTGTTTCAGACCAGACATCGTAAGGGATGGGAAAAGAAGGAGGCGCCAGCTGATGTCAAAGATGTCACTCCTGTGGAGGCACCTCTTCTGGCTCAGCTGGATGATTTGATGGCGACGCTTCGGAAGAAAAAGAAAGAGCCTGAAAGTGCCGAAGCACCTGCGCCTGCGGCAGAAACACCTGTGGCCCAGCCTGTGGCAGTTGCAGAAGGTCAATGTGAAGAAAAAGGCGATGCACCCCCGCCAAGTGAGTTCGACTGCTTGTCAGACGAAGAGCATGACCTGGCCACAGACATTGGCTGTAGAAACTTCATCCTGAGCCACTTTAGCAAAAAGAGACGTAAGGACATTGTCAAAGTGGCCGAGTTCTATGTGGGACACCTCAAGGCTCAAGCTTCGAAGAAGCACACCTTGTGGGAAATTTTCAGTATGAACGTGATCCAAAAGAACATGCTGAAGTCGACAGCTGGCAGGAATGCTTGGCTGTCGGCTTGGCAGGCCAACAGGGCCAAGCGGTTCCAGAAGGTTCACAAGAAGTGAGACTGAGACTTCTGAAGGAAGAGAACAGTTTCCTACATGTTGCGTTCACATGGTGATTCATGGACAAACATGATGGTTTTGGGTGTCTTTGGATATGGTTTAAGATGTTGGGGTGACCTGCGTTCACATTGTGTTTTGCAAACCCTGGTGGTGTGATTTTTCAAGTTTTCAGAATTTGGTATTGCGTTTCCATGCGGGATAGCACTTGGGGTGAGTTTCTGGCCCAGTTGGGGGGCGTAGTTCCATGGGGGACAGGAAGTTCGCTTGTCGGTTGGGGGAAGTTTGGTGTTGCGGTGTTTCTTGTACTAAATAATACACACCAGGCATATTTCTTGTAATATCTTGTAATACATATATATATATATATACTTCTCATTCCTGCAGTGGCCCCTTACCCTTGGTTCGCCTTGGCTGGCCGGAACAGTGTGAATGGCTCGACACGCAGGAGCTTCACAGTCAACATCAAAGGAGCCTTGGCTGCGGTTTTTACCTCGCCCGACCCAGATTTCACTCGGCAGGACTCGTGGCGGGCCATTCTCACGGCCGTCGGCCGAGAAGAATCAACCAGAATGCAAGCAGAGGGGAAAAGACAGTGGAGGAACATAGGCTAGATAGGCATCTGTGGGATCCAAGTTTTGGCTCCTTCGCCCAATCAGGTTGCTGCAATACCTTCACTTGAATTTGGCCAGGAATGCGTTTTCACCCAGGACCAATGGCGGAAGCTATTTCGCGAAGTGACAAAATTGAAGCTTTGGGCAGAATCCAGCCGGTGCAAGTTGACTTGGAAGATGATGCGATAGCGAACCAGCTTGTACTTGAAGGCAGCCATGTTGCAGGAAAGCTTCCCAGTTGCAAATGCTTGATGGGGTCGGCATTCCTCAAATTATGGCGTTGCAATAGGCAAAGCCTCAAGACGATTTTCTTGAGGGTTCTCAGATGTGTTGCATCAGAGGAAGGCAACACTGTTTCTGTTTATGTTTCTTTTCGGTTGATGAACTTGATGTTTTCAATACCCTCCAGCTTGGTGGAAATGATGGGATGCACCCCGCGGTGTTGTTCTTCAGCTTTCTTGATAGACACCCCTTTTTCAAGGGAGATGAATCTTACAAATGACAAAGGGGTGATGCTTCATCAGCAGGCTTTCCACGCGAAAGATGCTTTAAGCTTTTAAACCATTCCGGTGGCGCCATCCCATTCACATAAGCTGCCCATTTGATGGCTCGCAGGAAAGACTTGGCTGCACTCACTCGTAGAGGAACTTTCGCATGATAAATTTGGATGAATCTGGGTGAAGCTTGGATTGTAAGGGATTATGCATGGCACATCATGACACCAGTTTTGGTTTTGAACATGTTTGAATCATGCCATTCCTGTGGGAAGACAACACCCAAGCTGTCAAGATCCCAGGACGCTTTGTTTGCTCCGCTCGTCGTTGGTCGTTTGGTTCCAGCCGGCTGTGGCGTGGCCTTTCGACAGCAGGCCCGGCTGTGAGAACTCCAACTACCCAACGACATCAATTCGGTTTGTGCATTCGGTTTGCGACATTCATTCCAGTGAGGGCTTTTTCGATCGATCAATGCGTGTGGATACCGTGCATATTGCTCCTTATCCCTCGGACCTGGGAGGTGACCATGGGGAACCTGCAGATGACTCTTTGCAACAAGGCGCTGGGCTCCCCGTTGGGGAGTGATGAATATCCACCGTGGTGTGCACACGAGAGAGGGAGCTCGGCCGTGGTTGAGGTTGCAGGCAATTGCATGCAGGCATATTCTGCATATTGAGCCCTTAGTAATGCATTTACTTATTCATATTAGTTCATGCCTATATGTATGTACACTTGTGTTTAGAGAGAGATCAGAGAGAGAGAGGGTGTGTGCAGATAGCACGCAGTTCAAAAGCGTATCTCAGGCGTGCCGAGTTGTCACAGGGTGTTGCCCATCTCCCTCTTTTAGAGGTCCAGCGTTTGAGACGCCAAAGGTGTGAGGAAGTCCTTTAGAAAAGAACAGATCAAAAAGGGGGTTGAATAAAGGGGACTTCCCACCCACTGGATTTGTCTTTTAATGTTCCCAGAGGGGTTTAAGGAGGGTCTCTCTATTCTAATACCCATCGTTTGTTCTCATCAGGACATCCGTTTGGAACAAGACCTGTCTTGGCAGGTCCTCAGCTGCGAGTGTGGAAGCTCAGTTTTGGTGGAACCGTGTGTAAACATGCGTAAACCATGTTGCTGAGTCAGATTGGTAAACCAATCATCCCGAGGGCCACTTGGTCATTTCCTTTGTGGCATTTGTCGAGTCTACTCAGTCTCCTCGCCTGTGAAAGACTTCGTCGACAGAGCCATTTCGCTGTTCACACCGGCTGGTTTCCGCGAAACCGAAAAGCAAGTCCAGGAACCGGCCGAAGGACCTCCAAATAAACTGCTGGGTGGTTGCTAGTTTTCTGAAGAACCATTCAAGCTTGGTTTTGGAAGGATTCATTCGAGTCTTTACTTGGCAGCTTGTTCTGGGCGTGAAACCACCAAAAGGGTACAATCACACCGGATGTCTTATTGAGACCCTCCAGATTCCCCCGACTTGTCCCAGCATCAGCACACCGCAATTTGCGGTCATCGGCAGCATCCGAGTTACAGCGGTGTGAGTGAGACGTTGTGCAGCATGGGCCGCAGTTCGAGCCCAAGAGACCAGCTGAAGGGAACAACGGCGCAACGACTCACGTCATGGAATTGAATTGGTGTGTGGGAACGATTAGTATCTTAAATTGGGAGGTCTGCAAATAGAGCGGGGGTTATATGTTTATACATTTTTGTTCTTTGGGGTCCAACTGGAATCTGAACACATTTGATTTTGCACTCCCAAAATCTGAACAGGGATGTTTGATGTATGTGTTTGACAGTTTGCATAATTTGCTGTTCTGCCAAGAGTTGCCAGCACAGCACCACCTCAAAAAGAACTTGAAAAGATAGAAATCCCTGAAGCTTCTACTAACGTCTACTAAGATACGAAGATCTAGTTTGACGTCTATCATTCTAGCAGCTAGCAATACGGCAGTTTTTCTCCATCTCCGACATTCTTCCATCAGCATAGTCTCGGTTATATACCCTCCTCCAACAAACATGGACGTGACCAACCAACCCCCTGCTTCTAGAGAAAAAGTGTTGTTTTGAACAATGTTCATCAATTTTCCTGAATTTTCCACTTCCATGATGGTTTCAGGGAGTATAGACTGTATTAATTTTATCAAACATCTATAATGATAATAATATATACATATATAGCTTCTTATCATCACTGTTGAGCCCTTGAGCGTTCAGAAAGAAGATGAAGCCTGTCCATCCAGGTGTCCGTGGCGAGGCATCCGGGGACATGGTGGTTTTCTTTGATTCTACACTGGGAAGTGGTTGGGTCACAGATGGAATAGCTGAATTTGTAGTGTCACCCTGAGTAAATGGGACAATTCGAAAAACAGGGATGTTAAATTCTGGAACTGTGCATGCTCTTGTTGTGGCCTTAGAATTAACTGTCCAGAAACGATGACCCACAACTGCAATATGTAACTGGAAAAGCTTCTGTAGTCAGTTGGGCTCATTGCAGCAGCATAAATGCCATCGCAGTTGGACAGTCAATACTACATTTAGTTGACCGTTGAGATCTTGTTTTATATTTTGCTTCGTGATGCGCACCCCGGGATGGTTACAACATGTTACAACATCAATGTTGCGGTTGAGCTTCCCAGTTTGGAGGTCATTACCTTTTGGGGGTTTGCTCACTTCGTCGAAGTCCAGAGTACATGATGCAGAAGCAGATTGAGTGGAAGCCCCGTTTGTCAGCAATACATGGAGCAGTGTTCCTCTTCTTCATGACTGTAGTCCCCGGGCGTTTCGTTTTACCCCACCATGCGCAGGATATGCAGTTGGCGCTTCGGGTTGTCTTCGCTCCAATGGAGGCCTCAAGTTCTCGAGCTTTGTTCCAGCAAGGAAACAGGGTTCAAAAAGCTCTTTTTCCGTTTTTCCGCTCGACGGTGGGACATGACATGACGTGGCACAGCCTTTGAGACTTGGAGCACCCTGTACTGTAGTACTTGTAGCTGTTTGGTTTGCACTAATGGATTGATAACCCCCCCACATGGTAGGTCAACAGGGTCAAGAAGATATGAGATACCACTCATAAGGTCCACCTCCCCTGAATAATCTGCTGGCTATGAGACCAGTACAGTATGCTAGTAGGGGTAGTAGTAGTCGTAGTAGTAGTAGTAGCAGCAGGAGTAGTAGCAGGAGTAGTAGCAGGAGTAGGAGTAGTAGGAGTATAGTAGGAGTAGTAGTAGTAGTAGTAATAGCAATAGTAATAGTAAAAGTAATAGTAATAGTAATCAGTAGGAAGTATCTAGTAGCAGTAGTTAGTAGTAGTAGTACTAGTAGTAGTAGTAGTAGTAGTCGTGGTGGTGGTGGTAGTAGTAGTAGTATCAGGGGTGGTAGTAGTAGTAGTAGTAGCAGTACTAGTACCATTGACCTGGTTGTGGGGTCGGATTGACTGGGGAGGGTTCTGGTGCCCAACTAAACGATTCAAGGGGAAAGTCAGCCATCAATACTGATGTTTATTTTGGGCAACTCTCCGAGGCTTTGTGGCTCGGATTAGCTAGGGCTAGGGGAGGTTTACATTATTTCTGACTTTACATTTCTTATATGTATTTACCGCGCAGAGGGGCTGTGTGGCTTGGCAACGGGGCAGCTTTGCTAACCAGCATGCTTTTAAGCACTTGTTACCTGCAGGCGTTTAATGTTTGGATCTTGAACTGGCGTGTTCAATGCAAGTAGCTCACTCAGCCGTCATCGGCGGAATTGGCACGGGAACCGGCAGATCCCGGTGTTGTGTGGAGCTGCCGGACGGGCCACTTTTGCTCAGGGCAAGAACTCCCTGAAGATGGGTGGCAGCCTCAATCAGCCCATGTCGTGGCCAATCCTGATGCCGGTTTCCTCTTAAAGCCAGCTTGGGGTCACCTTCCCGCAAAATTTCGGGAATTGTTTTCTTGTTTTTTAAATGTTTTTTGTAGGACTATATAATGGTTGAAGGAGAGACTGCAGCTTATGTTGCGGCAAACGTCCTATTGGTCGCAACGCGGGGACTGCAGCGTTTCGTCGGTGTTTGACGAGACCAGAAGCGAGATGAAAAGAGTCTTCCTAGTTATTCCAGACGGCTTTAATATGCTTTAATGGTTTGAGGGTGAATTTCCCACCCCAAGACTGCAATGTATTTAAGCTGGGCCCACAGCTCTTTTGAAATGCAAGGGGACGAGTTCCTCATCTCCAACATCAAGAAGGCGGGCCAAAGGGGTCCGTCGGTGGGAACAGTGAACCGCAAGTTGAATCAACGCGATGAGATTGGGATTCTTCGTTTCACTTGATGCTTGGGATTTCTTCGTCGCATCCAGAATCATGATACAATATCTTGCTCCATCTCACTCCACATCTTCGGAGTCTCAACACGCATGGCATGGCACGGTCGAGGTCCTGGGTATCTCAAGATAGGTCGCCACGGTCGGACCGACGGTCCAGGTGCCGGGATGGGAGCCGCTCAGTTGGCGCCAGGAACGGGATTTGAGCGGTGTCGGTGTTTGAACCGTTTTTTTAAAGACAGTTCTGGCATGTTCTGGCGATGAAAAGGGCTGAAGGCGATGCATTTTTTGCCCCTGATTTTACATGTATATGCATATATATATAATATAGTTTGACAGTCTGAGTGAGAGAGTGAGAGAGAGTGAGTCTATTATTACTGCAACATACTGCAACACAAGAGACAAGGCAGAAGGTGCCTTACATAGTTATAGT